CAAGCGGCACACAAGCCGCCGCCGACAAATCTTTTTCCTGCGCGTGGTGTACCCGGGGTTTCGCCTTTCAGCATAGCATCAATTTCTAAATATTTGCAATGTAGCAAGGGCTAGTCATATCCTGGGTCAATTGCTCAATAGGTACTGTAATTAGCGGGGTAGGAAGATGAAAGGAAAGAGGCTGAGCAAGCGACAAGGGAGGCAAGGGGAAGGAAGGACGGGAATTGTTGAAGTAGGAGTTTTGCACCCTACAGGCTAGAGCGCTCTCCTAATTATACAAACAGGTCTACTGATAACAATTTATTACATAAATCGATGCTGAGATACCCCATAACTATATTGAATGCATATTCATAACAAAATATAACTCCTGTGGTAAGATATTGCGCATGCGCTAACACACTAAGTAGCCAGATTGTGTACTGACTGGTATATGCAGCGGGCACCTTATATGAAAGGCATTCTTCCTATTTATTAAGAGACGTTAACCGATGGAATGTTATCATATAAATCTATGCAATATTCTTCTTCTCGAGAGATATTGCGCATGTGCGAGCACCGTTTCGGGCGTGCAGTACGGACGAAAGAAAACTGTATAATATAGCTTGCTGAGAGAGTGAGAGGGCTGGGTGAATGCGGAAAGGCAACAGGGAATATAGTTGAGGAGCGGTAGAAGAAGTAGGCTGTATGTATGTGCGTGTGTGTGTGTGTGTTTGTGTGTGTGTGTGTGTGTGTGTGTGTGTGTGTGTGTGTGTGTGTGTGTGTGCGCGCGCGCGTGTGTGTGTATGTGTCTGTGTGTACGCACGTGTGTGCGTGTGTTGTGGAATTGCAGGCGGCCGTTACAAATGGAAGCATCACACGTGTATCCTGCCTTCCTTCCGTCCTCTCACATTACTGAATCATAAGCCCCTATCCTCCAACCAACACGTACTGTGCATCCGCAAGGATCTCACAGTTTACTAGCTCTGTAAAGCTTACCGACAATCTAACAGACGACCGTGACAAGCGATGATTGGTCTAATCATGAGAATAGCCGCGAGGTAATATTGACAACTCATTAACTACGATAGAGGATATGAATCAAGACTATTACCGGACACAGACGCAATTCGTGCACGCATGCATCTAAATAATATTTCTCTCGCAGCCTCCTCCTAGCATTAATCGACATTAATCAATGAAATAAGCGTCTAGGGGCGCACGCACGCAGTACATACGGGCGTGCACCGCTGCGCACATGCACGCACGCGTGTCCATACGGGCGTGCACCGCTGCGCACATGCACGCACGCGTGTCCATGCGGGCGTGCACCGCTGCGCACATGCACGCACGCGTGTCCATACGGGCGTGCACCGCTGCGCACATGCACGCACGCGTGTCCATGGGTGTGTGCACCGCTGCGCACATGCACGCACGCGTGTCCATGCGGGCGTGCACCGCTGCGCACATGCACGCACGCGTGTCCATGGATGTGTGAACGGACGCGCGCACGCACGCACGTAATCATAAAAAGAAGCGTACATGTACATGCACGTACACGCACGCACTCATCCCTCGCACGCACGCTTGCACATGTACGTACGCACGCACGCGCACATACACACGCAAATGCAGGCAGGCATGCATGGAGTCACCACATTAGCACGGTTCAGTAAGAAATGGGTTATTGCTCGACAGATCTATCAGACGAACGTCACGTGACAGCACGTGATTAATTAACAAGCTGTCTTAATTGCCATCTGTGACTGTAAGTAAGCAACACATTACATGCTGCCAGCCATAAGAAGACAGTTAATCAATGTATAGTGTATTAAATATATTGCCGGCATTGGATACTTGCTGGATAGTTGTTGCCAACACAGATATAGTTGTTTTACTGGCGCTTTACGTTGCGAATTGTTTTCGGTTTGCTGTCTTTTTTTCCCGTGTGACCGTTTGCTTCGTGGGTGCAGCTGCAGTAAGCGCTCGGGTCATATTAAGAAGGATGCTTAACAAGTACCCATGAACATAGATTGATCTCAACTGGCTCAGTAGCCTTCCGACTGTAACGGTGAAATAAACCATACTTGCCGCACGGATTTGTGAACCGGTGTGCGATAACACGCACATTCACACTCACACGCGCACAGACAGGCAGACGGCCCGTCACACACACAACAAGCAGACAAGCAAACACACACGCACATATACGCACGTACGTACGTACGCATGCTCGTGCACACACACACACGCATGCATAGATCAATACATTATACTGTTGTTCATACATACCTAGTAATGAATATAGAATACAGAAAGCTTTCCCACCGTCCGATAAAGGCGAGACATGGCCATAACCTGAAAACAAACAACGGCAACAGTATATTATAGAGATCAATCATAACAAATTCGAGATCTCTTTAAAGTGATTTTTCACCGTAAATAGTAAAAGTCTATAAATTATAAAGTATTTTTTTACACTTTTTCACAAAATGTAAGTAATTCTGTTCACTTTTTATGGTTAAATTGCTGCATTATACTTTCTATTTTACTATATTGTTCGATGTAAACATACACTCGTGACTCATACATATCCCATAGCAAACAATTAATGTCAGGATAATAATATTTTTATTAATATATTTTAGATAATAATAGATTTTTTGGATTTTTAATTAGTTGAGAAACAATATTATCATGTAAGAATTTGACGATAAATTTAGTCCCAATAGTACTTGCTTTTAATGTAAAAAAATGACAACAAAATTTTAAAAAATATACACCATAGAAAATTCGTGACGTAGTCAATTTAAGGGTTACATCTACTTACACCACACCTTGATGTAGTATATATGACGTCTATATATATTCACAGTTCACACGTTGACGTGCCATCAGCATTGCTCTACTAAAGGAGTAATACAGCCAGCCAACTTGAGAGAGAGAGAGAGAGAGAGAGAGAGAGAGAGAGAGAGAGAGAGAGAGATCGAGAGAGCCAAAGGCTGAGTGAAGACGCTTATTGTTTCATTGTGCATTAATTTCTGTCGTTGCATGACTACTGTAATTTTTGTAATTCATTGTTTTCCCGACTAATGAAGCCAAACTTGGCAACAGTTATTTCTGCACTTATAGTCATTTTATTCGCGATTCTATTTATATTTTCTATTATGCCATCACGCAAAATGGAAATAAGCTAAAGAAAGAAAGGCTCGGAATAAATTGGAAAACCGAAGACGGCCAAAATTAATTTCAGCAAATTATATATCCAAGACTAATTCGCTATACGGATCTTCCATACTCCACAGAAACTTCTGATTCACATCTCATTAAAATAACGACCGCCTACTAAGCTAACAATCCGACAAATACCTGTCTGAAATGCCAGACTGAACGTCTGACGTCCTTCACCGTGACAGTTATAGCTAGAGTTTACTTGATTTTACTTGATTTTTGAGTTTACTAAATTAGGGTACCGATCTATAGTGTATTGGTGATACGGGTCGTTGGTCCTATGTGTCGTTGGTCCTACGTTTTTTTTGTTTTTTTTTAATTATAAAAACACGCGTGTGTGCCTGCGTGCACCGTAGGACCAACGACCCGTAGGACCAGCGACCTTACGGGAGGAGAGGTGGCGTTCAAGCGAACGTCGCGACTACATTTGAAGGGCAAGTATAGAACAACATATAGGGCAACATAGAAGCTTCACTGGTGTTTGTCGTCAACCTAACCTTCACTGCTGCTCTATAAATAACAACGCAGCAGTAATAAAACCTCCATATCGCAAAATTTAATTAACGCTCACTGAGCAAGCGCACGGATACGTGACAGACGCCGCACACAAACGTCTACATTTCATATCAATTTCGCGGCTACGTGCGTGTGAGGAGGAAGCGAGCTTTATATGCTGTCGTCACGGTCGCGTTGTGCGTTGTTTACGGCAGAGCCCGTGTGTCATCTATTATCAAGAGCGGATAATACCTCTGTATTACCTACGGTATTATCCGCTCTTGCTATTATGCATATCCTCAAGAGTCTATAGACTAGAGAGACCTGATATCCTAGTACAACAGACGTGATGTATAAACCTGCGCATGAACGGGTGGGTAGACACAAAGATTATATATATATATATATATATATTGTCGTAAATGACCAAAAAGGTTACACATAGGTAGGATGGAGAAGGATAGGAAGCGCTGCCTACTTACAGTAAACGTCTTGTATAGAGAGCGCCACCTACCTGTCGTGATGAACACATTAAATAGAGAGCGCCACCTACCTGTCGCGACAGGTAGGTGGCGCTCTGTATTTAAGGTGTTCACGACAGGTAGGTGGCGCTCTGTATTTAAGGTGTTCAGGAACACCTTAAATACAGAGCGCCACCTACCTGTCGTGAACACCTTGTATAGAGGGCGCAGTTTCTGGTCGGGACTGTCTCCCGGAATGTAATCGCCGAGGCCTATGGTCGTCAGGGAGATGTAGCAGTAATAGAAAGCGTCCAGGAAGTTCCAGCCCGGCTCGATGCTGGCGAAGATTGCCGACGGAATGACGAAGAAGAAGCCGACGACGATGAGGCAGAGCACGCAGAAGTGCACGAGGCGTATGTTGAAGGGCTGGTAGAGGTTGCCGAGGCGCGCGTTGAGACACTGCAGCAGCAGCGTCGCCGGGATCAAGAGACGCTCGACGATCGCCGCGACGAGGATGAGCGTCAGCGGAATGCCTGCAAGCACACAACAACGCCGGCGCTGACGCTGACGCAAGAGCATGACGCGAGAGTGACGCGAGAGTATGACGCAAGAACGATGCGAGAGTGATGCGAGAGTATGACGCGAGAGTGACGCGAGAGTATGACGCGAGAGTGGCGCGAGAGTGATGCGAGAATATGACGCGAGAGTGATGCGAGAATATGACGCGAAAGTGATGTAAGAGTATGACGCGAGTGACGCGAGAGTGATGTGAGAGCATAACGCGAGAGTGATGTGAGAGCATGACGCGAGAGTGATGTGAGAGCATGACGCGAGAGTGATGTGAGAGCATGACGCGAGAGTGATGTGAGAGCATAACGCGAGAGTGATGTGAGAGCATGACGCGAGTGACGCGAGAGTGATGCGAGAGTATGACGCGAGAGCATGACGCGAGAGTGATGTGAGAGCATGACGCGAGAGTGATGTGAGAGCATGACGCGAGAGTGGTGTGAGACCATGACGTGAGAGTGATGTGAGAGCATGACGCGAGAGTGGTGTGAGACCATGACGT